ATCAGGAGATCGTGGTCCACGGAGAGGACGAGCAATCAATTTATAGGGATCCGTCAGTCCCATATCTTGAAGCTAGGGAAGGTAGAGAGCATATAGTATATCAAGCTTTCAAGGTTGTGGTCGCAGATCAATGTGAAGAAGGAAGCCCGTGTCCTCAGCCCTTTCTCTCAAATGCGTCAATTATGGTCGTTAATGAAATGATCACCGCTGAGGTGCAATATATGGGACCCAATGCTAAGTTGCAAAACAGGAAGGCTACTCCTTTCCTAGTCAGGAGAGAATCCCGGTAGTCCAGTCTTGCCACCTTTTCTACATCACGAGTTATTCCAGGGTGTAACTCGGATGTTTCTTTTAGTTTATTGTCTTTAAAATTCCAATGTAAACCCTGCTATCTTCAAATTCAATGAAATAAATTCAATATTTCATCGTTCATGAATCTCTTTCTTTATTCTTTCTGATTTTTTGTTACTTTTCTTATTTCTTCTGTCAGTTCTAATAATGCGGTTTTAAATAACATGACATGCTTGCGGACTTCATGCCCAGATCCAAACACGCTGTCTAATTGTGAAATAATGAATCAAGAACCCGAATACGATGAAGATGAGGCTTTTAGGGAAATAAACCGAGAATTGGAACAATTTGAGAATAAGCCTAAGCCAAATCTAAATGAAACCGAGCTAGTTAATTTGGGTAGTTCAGAAGAGGTCCAAGAAACCATGATAAGCATTCACACAGATGAAAGAACTAGGGATGCACTGATCCAACTTTTGTTTGAATTCAAAGATGAATTTGCTTGGTCCTACGATGATATGCCAGGATTAAGTGTTGATCTAGTGGTGCACAAATTTCCAACCTACCCCGATTACCCCCCTGTCCAGCAAAAACAAAGAAAATTCAAAACTGACATTAGTGACAAGATCAAAGAAGAGGTCACCAAACAGTTAAAAGCGGGTGTGATCCGAGTGGTCCGATACACCACATGGTTGGCTAATGTGGTCCCAGTGCCGAAGAAAGATGGGAAAACCCGGGTGTGTGTTGATTATCGGGATCTGAACAAAGCAAGTCCCAAGGACAACTTCCCTTTGCCAAACATCCACATCCTCGTTGACAACTGTGCCAAACATGAGATACAGTCTTTCGTGGATTGTTATGCTGGATATCATCAGTTCTTGATGGATGAAGAAGATGCGGAAAAGGCAGCCTTCACCACACCCTGGGGCACCTATTGTTACAGGGTCATGCCTTTTGGTTTGAAGAACGCCGGGGCAACGTACATGAGAGCTATGAATACCATCTTTCATGACATGATGCACCAAGAAATCGAGGTGTATGTGGACGATGTGATCATTAAGTCCAAGACGCAGGATGACCATGTTCGGGACATAAGAAAGTTCTTTGAGCGTCTGCGCAAGTATGACTTGAAGCTAAACCCGGCTAAATGTGCATTTGGAGTTCCGTCTGGGAAATTTTTAGGATTTATAGTCAGTCGGACGGGCATTGAGCTAGATCCAATGAAGATAAAGTCTATTCGGGATTTACCTCCTCCGAGAACCAAGAAAGAGGTTATGAGCTTGTTGGGAAGGTTGAATTACATCAGCCAGTTCATTGCTCAGTTGACTTCCACATGTGAGCCCATATTCAAGCTGTTGAAGAAAGATGCAGCGATTAAATGGACAGATGAATGTCAAGAAGCCTTTGACAAAATCAAAGAATATTTGTGGAAACCGCTAGTCTTGGTCCCACCAAACCTGGGAGGCCTTTGTTTTTGTACCTGACAGTCTTGGAGAATTCCTTTGGCTGTGTCCTCGGGAAACATGATGTGACCGGGAAGAAAGAGCAGGCAATATACTATTTGAGAGAGAAGTTCACTACTTACGAAGCCAAATACACTCTGTTGAAAAGGACTTGCTGCGCCTTAACTTGGGTCGCTCAGAAGCTCAGGCATTACCTGTTGGCCTACACCACCTATCTCATCACCAGGTTGGATCCTTCAAAGTACATATTCCAGAAGCCGATGCCCACAGGGAGGTTGTCAAAATGGCAAATCCTTCTCACCGAGTTCGACATAGTCTATGTCACTCGCACGACAATGAAAGCTCAAGCTCTAGCGGATCACCTAGCTGAAAACCATGTTGATGACGAATATCAGCCTTTGAGTACTTACTTTCCGGACGAGGAAGTGAATTCAGTTGAGGTAATCTCAGAGGACGCCAATGCTTGGAAAATGTTCTTCGATGGAGCGGTAAACGCAAAAGGTGTCGGGATTGGGCCAATCTTGATTTCACCCACCGGTCAACACTATCCAGCCACAGCCCGACTCCGAGTTTTCTGCACAAACAACACTTCCGAGTATGAAGCCTGCATTATGGGCATGAATATGGAAATTGACCAAGACTTGGAAGAATTGGTAATCATGGGAGATTCGGATCTGATTATCCGACAGGCTCAGGGAGAATGGGAAACTCGGGATGTCAAGCTTATTCCATACAGGCAGCATGTGGAAGATCTTAGCAAATGGTTCAAAACCATCGAGTTCAGGTACGTCCCTCGGTTTCACAATGAGTTAGACGATGCACTCGCTACTTTGGCCTCGATGTTGCCATATCCAGGCAATGTCCACATTGACCCGTTGGAAATCCAAATCTGAGAAAGGCATGGCTATTGCAATACGGTTGAGATAGAGCCGAATGTTCAGCCTTGGTACTATGATATCAAGAGGTTTTTGAAAACAAAGGAATATCCCGAGCAAGCCAGTGGAGACCAAAAGAGAACCATTAGAAGGCTTGCCGTGGCTTCTTCTTGAGCGGAGAAGTTTTGTACAAAAGGACTCCAGATTTGAACCTTTTGAGATGTGTGGATGCCCAAGAGGCCGAGAGAATCATGAATGAAGTACACGTAGGAGTATTGATAAGAGGCTGAATCTAGGTAATTTAGCGATTATTTATGCTCCCGTTTGATTATGTTCCGATGTCATAATGTGGTTAATTAATTAAAAATGAGCTCTAATTGTGAATTGTATACATTGCAGGATGAGGAGCCTATGTGATGCCTTAAAGAGGTGATTGGAACTACTTTAGAGCAAAAACAACCCCTCGGAGCTGAGTACGCACGAAGACGAGGAAAAAAATCAAGGAAACAAGGATCTGGGCTAGCGCGCCCAGGTGCGCGCCCGTGCTAATTTTAGCGCGTTCAAAAAAGAAGGTTGGCCAACTAGCGCGGTCAGATGCGCGCCCATATGCGCGACCGCGCTAGTCCAAATTCCGGAAAGCGTTTTTCAGGGGCATAATTGGAAATCTGGAAGAAACCCCACTTAATTGATATAAAGTCAAGCTCGCCCAAGGATTATTTATCAAGGTTTTCGTAGTCTAGTGGGAGAAATAGAGAGGCAAGAGGCAAGGAGGAGATTTAACCATCAATTTCTTCTTTTCTTCCCTTTGTTTGTGCTAATTGTGATGAATTTGAACCCTATTGTGATGAACATGAGTATGAGTGGCTAAACACCCATTGTTCTGGGGTTGTGATTTAGCCGTGAATATTGTGGTTTGATATTAGCTTGACCTTGATTATAATTCACCAATATATGGTTGTTTCTTCAATTCTGTGTTCAATTGCTTAATTGTCTGGCCAACAGTTAGGTTCTATTTACTATCTATGCTATGCTTGGGAAAGCCATGTTTAGATTAGAGAAGAATTGAAGAGATCATGATCTTAACCCTTAGGGGGAGCGGATTTGTGGTTAGGATAGGAATATACCAAGTCACCGTGCTTAATTAAATATCGTAATCTTAATGCATTCTTAATAGATTCATTCCATAGGAATATAGGCGTTAATCTATTGAGAATAGGTGAGTAGTACTTCGGGAGAAGGCTATGAGAGCATCTATCGATTAATTAGCAACCATGAGTGAATTATATGAAAGGGAGAGTTAATTAGAACCCAATACGAATGGTGAATCGATCACAACCCTAGAATACTTATCTCTACTGAATACACAACAATCAATTCGTTACTTGATATTTTAGTTTTTACTTAGAATCGTAGTATAATATAATCATATCATTGGACTTTGATTTTAGCTGGACTGAATAGCAATTTTAGTAATTCCGTGAGTAGTTTACACAAGTATTTGTGGGTTCGACACTCAACTTATCATTATATTACTTGTCTACCACGTATACTTGCGTGTGCGTTTGGGAGCAACAAATTTTTGGCGCCGTTGCCGGGGGCTTGAATATTAGCTACTTGCTAGTTTTTGCTTTAATTGCTTATTTTGTCTAGTCTAACATTACTTGATTGTTGCTCAGATCTAAGGAATTTTGACTGAATGCGTAGGGTCAGAAGCCAGGACCGACTTCAAGGCTTTGATCCTGAACCTGAGAGAACATTTCACAGGAGGTTGAGGGAAGCAAGGGACACGAATAATATTCAGCCACTTGTTCAATTTCCTGTGGACATGGCAGAGGAGCAACCCATGGCTGTTCAGGAGGTGGCAATGCCCATCATTGCTAATGTCACCTCCAGCATAGTGAAGCCCAGGATCACTGGGCACTTTGAGCTGAAACAGAGCATGATCCAGCTGCTTCACGCAAACGGGCAATTTATGGGTCTTCCACATGAGGATCCACAGCAGCATATTTTGAACTTCTTGGAGATTAGTGATACTTATATCACTAACGGGGTCACTCCAGATTATGTGAGGCTCACACTTTTTCCATTCTCTCTGTTGGGTGAGGCTAAGCGATGGCTAAAGGCAGAACCAACTAACTCCATTACATCATGGAATGATTTGGCAAGAAAATTTCTAGCAAGGTTCTTTCCTTCAGGCAAAACTGCAAAGATCAGAAGTGAAATAGTGGCCTTCAAATAGAAAGCAGGAGAATCTTTATACTCAGCTTGGGAAAGGTTCAAAGGGCTACTCAGAGACTGTCCTCATCACAATCAGACGAATGAAGTATTAGCTCACACTTTCATAGAAGGGCTACATTCCGAAACTAAGATCATGGTAGATGCTGCAGCTGGGGGTCAACTGTTGGAGAAAAGCTTTGACGAGATATATGCATTGTTGAACAAATTTTCCAAGAGCAATCCGGATTGGCAAGGAGAGATGGGCAGACACACAGTGCAAAAGTCTGCAGGGGTTCTTGAGTTAGATGTCGTCTCACCATTATCAGCGCAGATTGCTACACTGGCCAATCAAGTCAACCAGATGAACCTGAGTATCAACAAGCAACAAACACAACTGATACAACAAATTCAAACTTTTTGTGAAATATGTGGAGAGGAGCACACGAGCGACATATACCCCGCAAACCCAGAGTCTGTCTGCTTTGTGGGTAATTCAAATACGGGCCAAACAAACCAATATGGGAACACTTACAATCCCAACTGGAGGAACCACCCAAACTTCTCTTGGGGTGGAAACCAGGGCACTCAGAATCAATACAGGCCTCAAGTACCTCAACAATAATATAGACCACCTCAGGTTGAACAACAAGCGAGTCCTACAAGTCACCTTGAAGACATGTTTAAAAAGATGATGGCTGAACAGCAAGCCCTCGCCACAACAGTGAGAAATCTGGAGCGTCAAATGGGACAGCTTGCTAGTGCTCAAAACACTAGACCAGCTGGAGCTCTTCCAAGTGACACTGAAGCCAATCCTACGGCGGCCGTTAATGCCGTATCGTTGAGGAATGGGAAACAACTAGAGGAAGTTCTATCAAAAAAGAGGAAACAGATGACTATTAATGAGATGCCAACCGTTGTAGAATCGACATCAGATAAAGCCAAGGAGCCAGAGAATCCAGCTGGAGAGGCGGTGGCTGAGCAATCCCCACATTTGGTTGCAAGGCCACCACCTCCATTCCCTCAAAGACTGCAGAAATTACGAGATAATGCCACATATAAAAAGTTTCTTGATATCTTGAAGCAGGTACAAATTAATATTCTATTGGTTGACATCTTACAAGAAGTACCCAAATATGCAAAGTACATCAAGGACATTATGGCGAATAAAAGGAGGCTGACCGAGTTCGAGACCGTGGCACTCACTGAGGAGTGCAGTTCCAGAATTCAAGGCAAGCTACCTCAGAAATTGAAGGATCCAGGTAGTTTCACTATCCAAATCACGATTGGTAAACATGTTATTGGGCGAGCTCTATGTGACCTTGGAGCAAGCATCAATTTGATGTCGCTATCTATATTCAGACAGTTGGGGTTGGGTGAACCACGCCCAACAACAGTTAATTTACAGTTAGTTGACCGCTCCCTTGCTCATCCTGGGGGAGTGATTCAAGATGTACTAGTGCAAGTGGGGTCTTTCATATTCCCAACTGATTTCATCATCCTGGATTACGAGCCTGATCAGGAAGTCCCATTTATTTTGGGGCATCCATTCTTAGCCACGGGCCGAGCTATTATTAATGTTTGTGAAGGAAAGATGACGATGAGAGTGGGTGACCGAGTGGAGGTCTTCAATGTTTATAGAGCACTCAAGTTACCAGCCCATTATGAAGAGTTATCCATGATCTCTGTGGTGGAAGGTGATGCCACATCGTTAGTACCCTATATGAGCCCTGCAGATCCTGTTGAACGAGTATTGATTGGGGACGTAGAAAATAGTGAAGATGAAAGGATGGGAGAAATTGAGCAAGTGCTGGATATGTCATGCAGTTATGTACATGGGGTTAGAAAATTTGAAGAGTTGGACAGGCCTGTCACTCTGACCCTCCCCAGGCCATCTATTGAAGAAGCTCCAAAGCTAGAACTCAAGCCACTTCCAGCGCATCTGCGCTATGCTTATTTGGGGAACTCAGAGACACTACCCATGATTATTTCATCCAGCTTGACCAGCACTCAAGAAGAAAAATTGCTCAGAGTCCTCCGCGAGCATAAAAGGGCCATTGGGTGGACTATAGCTGACATCAAGGGTATTAGTCCATCGTTTTGCATGCATAAAATCTTTCTAGAGGACGGACACCGCCCCAGTGTAGAGCAGCAAAGGAGATTAAATCCCATTATGAAAGAGGTGGTGAAAAAGGAAGTAATCAAGTTGCTCGATGCAAGTATCATTTTTCCTATTTCTGATAGCAACTGGGTGAGCCCGGTTCAATGTGTGCCCAAAAAGGGAGGAATGACTGTAGTTGAGAACGAGAAGAATGAGCTAATCCCCACTCGCACTGTTACGGGCTGGAGAGTCTGCATTGATTATAGAAGGCTCAATAAGGCAACTCGCAAGGATCACTTCCCACTCCCATTCATCGACCAAATGCTAGACAGGTTAGCCGGGCATGAATATTACTGCTTCCTTGATGGTTATTCAGGATACAATCAGATTGTCATATGCCCAGAGGATCAGGAGAAGACTACTTTTACTTGTCCTTATGGCACTTTTGCCTTCAAGTTAATGCCATTTGGTCTTTGTAATGCACCAGCCACATTCCAGAGATGCATGATGTCTATTTTCACCGACATGGTGAAAAAATTCGTGGAAGTGTTTATGGATGATTTTTCAGTTTTTGGGTCTTCTTATGATGATTGCTTGAGGAATTTAAGCAAGGTGCTGGCCCGTTGTGAAGAAACAAATCTGGTATTAAATTGGGAAAAGTGCCATTTTATGGTACAAGAAGGCATCGTGCTGGGTCACAGAGTATCTAGGAGCGGCTTTGAAGTTGATAAAGCGAAGGTGGAGGCGGTTGCAAAATTACCTCCACCTATCTCAGTGAAGGGTGTCCGGAGTTTCTTGGGACATGCGGGTTTCTATCGGCGCTTTATTAAATATTTTTCAAAAATTGCTACTCCTTTGTGTAGGCTGCTTGAAAAATATGTCACTTTCAATTTTGATGATGCTTGCCTCAACTCATTTGAGGAACTTAAAAAGAAGTTGGTGACTGCCCCCATTATTGTGGCACCTGATTGGTCTCTACCATTTGAATTTATGTGTGATGCGAGTGACCTTGCTATTGGGGCAGTGCTAGGCCAGAGGAAGGACAAGATGTTTTATTCCATCTACTATGCGAGTAAGACTCTTGATGATGCACAGCTGAATTACACCACCACTGAGAAGGAGTTGTCAGCCGTTGTGTGGGACTTTGAGAAATTTCGGGCATACTAGTTGGGAACGAAAGTCATAGTCCATACGGATCATGCAGCAATCAGGTATTTGCTTACAAAAAAAGAATCGAAAGCTCGTTTGATGCGCTGGATTTTGTTGCTGCAGGAATTTGATGTAGAAATACGAGATCGAAAGGGGACAGAAAACCAAGTAGCTGACCATCTATCAAGGTTGGAAAATCACGATCACGTGGAGGAGGGTGGCCAAATTAAAGAGGTGTTTTCTGATGATCAACTTTTTGCTATAACCCAAGACCCTCCCCCATGGTATGCAGACTATGTGAATTATCTTGTGAGTGGAGTACTCCCTCCCGAAATCCAATCTGAAGCTAGAAGCGGTTCTTACATGATGTGAACTTCTATTACTGGGATGAGCCCTATTTGTTCAAGCAATGTGCTGATCAGTTGATGAGGAGATGCATTCCTGAAAAAGAGGTGGAATTAGTGTTGTATGATTGTCACGCATCACCTTATGGGGGCCATCATGGAGGAGATAGAACAGCTGCAAAGGTGTTACAATCCGGTCTCTTTTGGCCAACCTTATTCAAGGATGCCCATGCATTCGTTAAGAAGTGTGACCAATGTCAGAGAACGGGAGCAATCACAAGGAAGCATAAGATGCCTTTAAATAACATTCTAGAAGTTTAGCTTTTTGATGTGTCTTTTATGGGGCCATTTCCACCGTCCAGAGGAAACAAATACATCTTGCTAGCCGTTGACTACGTGTCAAAATGGGTGGAGGCAATTGCTTTGCCAACCAATGATGCCATGGTGGTAGCTGCTTTTGTGAAAAAGAACATATTTTCGAGATTTGGGACTCCACGGGCCTTAATCAGTGATGAAGGGACTCATTTTTGCAGTCGATTGTTGAATAACCTTCTTGCTAAATATGGAGTTTGCCACAGAGTTGCTACAACATATCATCCGCAGACAAGTGGGCAAGCTGAGGTGTCAAACAGAGAAATCAAGCAAATATTAGAGAAGACGGTGAATGTGAATAGGAAGGATTGGGCTACAAAGTTGGATGATGCCCTATGGGCATATAGAACCGCATATAAAACGCCAATTGGAGCGTCCCCTTACAAGCTGGTTTATGGGAAGGCCTGCCACTTGCCCGTTGAGCTTGAACACAAAGCATACTGGGCCATTAAGAAGCTGAACATGGACCTTGAAATCACAGGTGAGAAAAGACTTATGCCGTTGAATGAGTTAGACGAGTTCAGGCTGCACTCTTATGAAAATGCCAAGCTATATAAAGAAAAGAAAAAACGATGGCATGACAAGCATATCAAGCCACGTCACTTTGAGCCAGGTCAACAGGTATTGTTATTCAACTTTAGACTACGGCTGTTCCCTGGGAAGCTAAAGTCGAGATGGTCAGGTCCTTTTGAGGTGGTGAGAGTCACTCCTTATGGTGCAATCGAGCTGCGAGCTTTAAATGGTGAGAGGACATTTTTGGTGAATGGTCATAGAGTCAAGCACTATTGGGGAGGAATGATTAATCGTGAAAAGACCAAGATTGTACTCGCTGATGAGTAAGCGAGACTTTGCGTCGTGCCACGACGTTAAATCAGGCGCTAGATGGGAGGCAACCGATTGAATTGTTGTAAACGTCGTGCCGCGACGTTAAATCAGGCGCTGGTTGGGAGGCAACCCAACGATAGTAGTAAGTGTTGATTTTGTGTTTTAGGAAGTGCTAACCAATGCAGGTGACAATGGGCAAGTGCTAAGGCCATCGAACGGGGTAAGAACAGGTGAAAAGTTGAAGAAAAAAATTTGCCCAGGTGCGCGCCCGCGCTACTGGACGCATATCTGGGCGCGCTAATTTGCACCAAGTCTGTCTTGGCCGCGCTAAACATAGCGACCTCGCACCTGGGCGCGCTTCTGAACGCAAAACTAGCGCGGTCGCGCATGTGAGCGCGCATTTGGGCGCGCTAATTTCTCCAAGATTTTGTTGTGGCCGCGCTAAAACTAGCGCGAACGCGCATCTGGCCTCGCTAGTTCCGTCAAATTGTCACCAGTTTTGTTTAGTAGTTTAAGTTTTTTTTTGTTTCATTTTCTCCTTTTATTTTGATTAGGTTTTAATCCCCCCCCCTTCTGTACCACCCGTTCAACAAAAGACACCCACCCCTCCTCTAACTCTCCCCTATTCAAACAAAAATTAAAACCCCTACTACCAAATCCTTCCCCCATCTTACGATTCTTCCCCCAAATCTTTCCCCCATCTCACGATTCTTCCCCCAAATCTTTCCCCCATCTCACGATTCTTCCCCCAAATCTTTCCCCCATCTCACGATTCTTCCCCCAAATCTTTCCCCCATCCCACGATTCATCCCCCAAATCTTTCCCCCATTCTCACGATTTCTTCCCCATTCTCTTTCTCTACTCACCACCATCGTCCATCACAGGTATTAACCCTAGTTTCTTTTTCCTTTCTTTTTCTTCTCTTTTTCTAGTTTTATTTTTTCAGATGTTGTTGTATGCAAATACCTTGTTGTAGTAGTTGTTCTTAGATTTTGTGTAGAGAAATTAGTGAAATATTTTGTAGTATTGGTGAGTGATAAGTGTGGGGTGGAAGTCCACCTAATTTGTGATCTTGGTGAGTGTATGTGGTGGATTAGTGTTCTAAAAAGCTTAAAAAGAGCTGTGAAGGTTTAACGCCCACAAAGTGTTCGTGGAAAGGCCCGAATGAACGTGATTATGTAGTTTGTGACCACCTATGCGTGTGAAGTCTGAGTAACCGCATTGCGTCACAAAATTTTAGTTGGGCTGTGCTAATGTGTTCCCGTTTTGCAGGTATCATGGCTCCACCTAGGAAACGACAAGCCACATGGGCTTCATCAAGTAGCCAAGCTGGTTCGGCTAGGTCAAGAGGAGCTGCACAGGCCCGTTCCTTTGATGCTACAAAATTTGTTTCGGCCAAGGCACAAGACCGCTTTGCGGAAAAGGCTCGTAGAAAGATAATTCCGGAGAGGGGTATTCATGTCGGCTGGATCCAGCACCACTACCCGCACATGTACAATGAATTGGTGAGGTGAGGGTTGCAAACCTTCATCAATGAGCTCGGTAAGGGTAATGTAATGGTTGTGCGGGAGTTCTATGCCAATGTACCGGAGCATGTTAATGGAGTAGTCACGGTGCGCCGAAGGGCGGTGAATGCTTCTGAGGCAATACGGACGGCCTACCAGCTGCCTCCACCTCCAGATGCTGGTGATTACTTCTATGAGTACAGCCGCCACCCAATGAACGATGAAAAATGGGCACGATACTTTGAGACTATTTGTGTGCCCGAAAAAGAAGTGGTCTGGATGGACTATGGGGAGAAATTCCACTCCTCAGTACTCACATTTGAAGGGAAGTGCTGGTTGCACCTCATCAACAACCGCTTGATTCCATCTCACAATACTACAAAGGTAAATGGGCCCCGAGCTGCCTTGATTTGGTGCTTTGTAAATGGTTACGACTTCGATTTGGCCAAGGTGATGCATGATGAGATATTCGTCCGAAGTCAAGTCAAAAGGTATAGGTTCTTTTTCCCCTCTCTAGTGACTCAACTATGCAGGGATGCTCGGGTACCCGAAAATCTAGCTGTGGATGGGTTGGTACGAAAGGAGGGCAAGTTCCGTGCTGATAAGGTA